GAAGTTCTGCAAACCAGAATGTTCCTTGCAAATACTAAAGACATGTCTTCTTCCCATGCTACCACACACAGCCAATTATTCACTGTGGAACTGACATGCATGCCTGAAAGAAAAAGGTCTGAACACAGATTTCACAATAGAGACTGCAGCAAAGTGTACGGAAAATCCACAAAACTCGAAGTTTCTCATACATGGTGGATGCAAAGATCATTTTGAAAGAAACAGTGAAAGCTACAAGCTTTTACTCCCCAGTTTTGATGCCCATTTCAAAAGATTGTTCAATTATTTCACTTCCAGATGAGGTTCTATCTACATATTTCTTTAAATATCCTATCTAGACAATATAGTGAAGGATGATCTGCCTCTTAAAAAACAAACCTATTATAATGCAAAAGATCTACCAAAAGGACAGTGTCTGGGACATAGTGACAGCAACCATATTTCCAAGAAACATTTTGCATTAATTCTTACAAGAGTAGTAACTTCTTCAGCACCAAAGGACACCTTATGCACTCAAACATCAAGCAGTATCACAGAAGCCTTTATGTAGAAACACCAGAAATCTCTGAATGGCATAAAACAATTAGTGAGTTGCCAGCAGAAGAACTGAGCTGTTCCTTGTAAGATGTAACAGGCATCACTTGTCCCACCTGGTAAAAGATCTTACAGAAAAAGGAAGACAAAGATCAGCTCCACTAAGTTTCTTACACCGTCTCCAGAATGTGTCAGTTCAAGATTTCCCCCTGCAATTATTTTGATCCTGAAAGACATTAGGTGCAGCACACATACACACACATAGAAACAGTAAGGCTGCTACTTCTCAGTGCAATGTGACAGGAAAAGCAGTATCACCAAGGCTGGACATCAGGCACAGCAGGATGTCAAAACCACTTGCACATTCAGTCCTTTGCAATCTGGAGAGCAAAGCAAATGAGCTGCAGTACGGCTACTGGCAATCGGTGCTTCTGCATCTCTAGAGATAGTAGCTGAAGTCCGATTCTGAACATGCATCCTACTAGGGCCCCCTGGGAGCTGAATTGATGATACCAGTTTCCAAGGATTTTATACTCTGGCTTTGCTCCAAATTAGAGCAGAACCTGAAACATTTCAGATAATCTTGGAAATTCCACTACTTTTATTTTTGTTTACATTTACTTCTAGAGAGATCAGAATAGATAAACATGAATTGAAAGAATCATTTCAAAGCTAAGAATTTTTTTTAAAAAAATACATTCCACAGCATTAAAATGTGCTCTGTCTGACAGCCTTTTTTCTTTTTTCTTTCTTTCTTTTTTTTTTTTTGAAGCAGAAATTCACTGCAGTTGACTTACTTTTATGAAGTATTTTGATTTCAACAGAATTGCATTTTCCAGGAGAGCCTTCACACTCCCAAAATTTGTAGATTTCTTCCATCTGTCTCTCACTTAGCCAAAATACATGTTTCAAATTTTACTCATTTTTTATCCTCAGCTCATAAAACAGCCTTTGCAATTCCCCAGCTGATGCCCATTTTTCCATTATCCACTGCTAATCTATTTAACTCTCATCCTATGAAAGTGTGTGGGTACAGGGTCTGCCAAAGGCAGCTCCAATGTCACAGCACACTCTACCCAACAAATAAAGCACTACAAATAGCACACCAGCAGTTCTACTGACTTCATAACCAAACAGCAAGAGTCCAGGTCACATCCACCAGTCTCAAATAACTCCACTGCTCTGACAATATTGCAACCAGCATAAAATAGAAGAAAAAGAAACCTCAGTGAATTAAGTGCTTCACGTACTGTCCAATGATTCCAACTGCTTTCCAGCAACATAACTTCTTCCTCTCTGCTATTTACCTGATCAAAGTCTGCCTTCACAGACCTGTGTGCCATATGTGATGATTTTCAGACAACCACTAAAATTAATCAGAAGGCACAATTGCTCAGGTCTCCCCCATCACTGTGAGATGGAAGGTTTCTTCCCAGAGGGAAAGATGCACAAGCTACACAAGGACTCAGACTTTTACTAACAGTACATGACACATCAACAAGGTATTCCCTGCCACAAACAGGAGTATGCATCTCTTGTGTGTCTCAGCCTGCTGATGAGCAGTAGAAAGTGACTTTCCCCCACCATCACAAGCTTGTTAAGAAGTCATACAAAGCATCCAAAGATAAAGACCTCTTTGATACACAGAAAATGCATGACTAATACGTAATGAATCATAGAAATGATGGTTGAGAGAAAGCTCTGGGGGTCATCCAGACTAGCCTGTAAGGGCAACTGCAAACAAGAGATAATGTCAGCTGTGACTTTACTTAGATAACTCTAGATAACCTCCAGGGTCCTCAGAACTGATATTAAAATACCTATTTTTGTGCATGGAAAAAATTAATATCTGGCAAATGACAAAGCCATCAGACAGTTCAGAATTTTAAAAATATAGAAAGCATAATAGCACACATACTAAACACATCACACTCATTTTTGAAATAGTACTGCCAAATTTAAAATCAGGTGACATGATCATTAGCACACTTGAAACCCAGCCATACTGAAAAACAACATGCCCCCAAAAGGGCTAAAGCCAGGAGGCATCAGGAAGGGAGGAGGAAAACATCTAAGAAAATAGTAAAAGCAATGAGAAGGAGATCAGGTGACTTAGGTATCACAAGAAGATATGTGCCTCTTCTTATTTGGGTCACCAGTTTAAAACTGTATAGCACAAACACATTCCTCACTGTGGAAAAAGGATGTGATAAAACAATCCCAAAATAGGATGAGCAGACCTTCTCTTCTTTTCACCTAACTTCAGAAAAAAATTCACCTCATGGAATTCTTTGGTCTTGTGCATGCACCCATCGTACCAGAAAGTTCAGTCTGGAGTAAGATCTTCCCTAAGTGTGCCTGGAAAATACTTCTGGAGACAGAAAGAACCCTCTATCTCCGCATCTCAAACCACAAAAGTCAATCCAGACAGGAGAAGAAAAGGCACCAACAGCAGGACTTCTAGTTTATCAACGTCTTCTCTTTGCAGCAAGATCCTGCATGCACAATTGATCATTTTCCATTCAGATTTTCATTGAATGGAAAGTTTGAGATACTTTTTGTCCATAGCTGTATTTCTAGAGAGTAGCAAACAAATAAAAACCAGAAGCTGTTTCGTGGCTAGAGATACTTCCAAAACACTCCATATGTAGCTGATAGATAAACATCTGATAGTGGATTGTAGTTTCAGAGTATTAAGATCCTAATTTCACAAAAAGGTGCAAAATTGAGTCTTGAAGACAGAAAAACAACCGCCAAGTTTATTATTACAGACATTTGAAACACATCACTGATAACTCCCATATACAGAAAGATCTAAGTGTTGCATCTTGCAGAAAAAAGGCATGAGCCAAAATTCCAGGCATGTCTTAGGAGGCTGGAGGATCTTCAAGCATTCAGCATCTAATAAAACACTGCAATGGCACCATAGTTTGCAGGATCTGCTCTATTCTGAAGCCTTCAAAACTATTTCATACTGTTCCTCCCATTTGTTTCACACTGCTCACAAAAACCACTCAAAGTTTGATATTAGTCTTTCTCCTAGAATACTGGCTCATTAACACACAAAAAGAATTAGTGACAACTTCTCTTAGCAGGCAGGCATTTCCTCCTGGTTTGGTATTATGAGGCCTTTAGGATCACAGTTAACTCAGAGAAGAAGCCTCATGGGCAAAGAGTGACATGCCTGTGGGACTGAAAGGTTAGCTTCTTTCAGTTAGGGTTATGGGGCATCTGCAAGGACTGCTTGGGTGAAAGCTTGTAAGACTGGCAGTGCCCCCAGAGCTGTCCTGCTGATAGATCAAGGACCTCTGCTTTCAGTGGGAAAAAGTTCCACTCTGTTTTTAATCAAAAGCACGTCTTTAGAAGAGTGTAAATAGATAAGAATGCATTGAAATGACAGAACGGAATCTAATAACATCATGAGCAATTGCCTTGAATGTGTTACAGTATCACAAAGGGTGTTTTGTTATTTCTCAGAGCATTTTAAAATGCATCCTTCTGTTTAGAATAGAAAACAATCACAAGACTAGGATGTGCTGATTGTATGTTATCTGCAAAACTACAGCCATGCTCTTGAATAATCTCCCAGTCTAAAAAAAAATAGCTTTCATATATACTAAATCATCCTTCGAAATGCAAATGTAAATGCTAACCAACATAAAGAACTGTCCTGAAGACATTGAATTGTATTGACATTTCATTTACAACTACAAACGAAATGCTTTTCTTCAAGCTTAAGTGTTATTATGCCCGATTACATGTTGAGTTTTGTTGTTGTTGTTTTGTTTTTTTTTTTTGTTTGTTTTTTGTTTTTTACTCTTTTGTTCCTCCACTGGACTATTTTACAAGCAGGTTTAAGCAAAACAGTTCACACTTCCCTCATGTGGACACTTACCTCACTTAATTGAGCAGAGTTCTAACATTTCTGTTTATGACTAAGTACACAGCTTGTTTAGCAATGCAAAGCTCCTTGATCTGCTTGAGCAAAGCCTAGAATACGACAGCGGTTTTGTTCTGTGATTTTAATGAAGACAAAAAAATTAGACTGATTTAGGTCAAAGAAAAAAGAGCATGCTAAAATGATGTAAAGTTAAAATTCAGCTGCAACAGTAAAAACTCATCCAAATTAATTATAAACTTCATGAATGCTACCTCAAAGATAATGCCAATTAACACAGCATTTGCAACATTTTTCTTCACAGCTGTACTTCAGTACAATGCTGCAGTGAGATTCCTGGTTAATCTTACCTCCTCAAAATTTTTCTTTCCTATCTGTCACAGTAAGAAGTGAAATAATCATTGTGGTGCCATGAAGATGTCCCACTTTTTGCCAATTTGGCTGACTTCAAACATAACACGTTATATATTGAAAATATTTACCCACTTCATGGCACTTTACTGCCAATACAAAGTTACTTTCTGAAGCATTCAATCAACAAATAAATCATTACCTGCTAACTGTTACATCGGTTCTACAGAATTTATTTCTTATTCCACACTGGTTAGTCAATATCAGGTTCATATAGATCATCATTTGGGATTTGATTGCTGGAGGAGGAAAAAATATTGCACAAAAAAGAGCCATTACAGGAACAGAAATGACAAATTAGACATGGGTCTCCAGGCAGCCAAGCTGGCACAGGACCCTGAAGAAGAGTAGTAAATCACCTGCTTTGAGTATGGGAGCAGGAGCCACAGGTGGGCAGCTGGAGGGGCAAAAGGAACGTGGCAAGGGGAGAGGAGCCAGCAGCACAGCCTCTGCTCTCAGAGAGATAGCAGGAATACAGAGAGATCTGTGAAGTACATATTGCCTTCACTAGGAAAATCTAAGGGCTCTGCTGTAGATGCAGTGCTTTCTCCCTACACCTTGTAAGATGGTGAATGCCACAAAACTACTTATTGCCTTAATTATCCAAATGTAATAATTCAAGGTCAGGTTAATGTTCTGTACCCAACCTGTAATTCCACATACTAGCAATTGGAAATACAAAGAAAATAAAAATATGCGTTAGTTAAATATACTAGTTATTTAGAGAAAGAGCAAACAAAAAAGTCAAGGTTGTCTCCCTCTGACTTCCAAGACACCATTCCAATCTTCAAGATAGATTCATGCATGGATCTTACACATGACATCAAGAACTGCAGCATCCCCCTAATCCACCCAGCTGGCAATATTAATTTCTGGACAAATGAAAAGGCAGATGGATTTCATGTCATGCTACACACCTGACAAATTAAGTTACTAGTGGTTACAATAAAGGTATTAAATCCACAAAATTGAAAGGTGTCATTATTAACTACAGTACACTGTAATGCTCCTGAGTTTCAAAAGCATCACTGATGAATTAAGATCTCCCCAAGATGGCAGATGAAATTCCCCACATGTAAGAAGAAATGGCCAGCAAGAGTCAAACAATGAAAGATTAAAAAGACTAAAATTCAATCATTAATTTCACTGAATTTCTAAGGTTTCAGAAAAAGCATAGAATTGAAATTCCTATATCCAACAACTCTACCTAACAGATTCTGTGAGATGTTCTTTCCTGTAAAAAAGGACAAGCTTTCTGTTTTGTTTGAAACACAGGGTATTATGAACAACTTGAGCACAGTAGGCAGGAAAAATTGAGTATGACAAAACTTGGGTCAGACATTCAAACAGCTACTTAACAGTTAAACTTCATATTTCTGACAAAGAGGACATCAACCTCCTGGTATAACTCTTAGCTCTTACACACAGTATTCAGTCTTTCTCACCAGACAAAAAGAGAAAGTGAAACCAAAAATCCACACAAGTGCAACTCTCTCTGGCTGCCAATGGAGTCAATGTAGACCAACATAGAAGTATTAATAGTTAGCCACATGAATGACGTTAGTGAATCAGCTCATTTATCATTACACTGTACCAGCCTCTGGTTCACCTAAAATATTGTTTTCTGGGATAAATCACTCAGCCTAAAATATCACTTCACAGTACTCAAATAAATTGTAACTTTGCACTGCTGCAAAAGCAAATTCTTAACCAAGAGTCTACTTTAAGTAAATGGGTCCACACCCAGGAACACAATAAAAGCCTTATAGCATATGTAAGTCCAAAAATCTTTTAAAATAAAGACACACTAGATCTTTGCACTTAATTTCAAATACCATACTTAATCAAACCTGATTTCTTGCTATGGTAATCTGACATACACTGCAAAACTTCTTGGGAGTCATTGAAATGGTACCTGATGGAACAAGACTAATGCTGCAAGGAAACAGGTTGTGAAATCTCAGATGAGGTACTTGACCAGAAGTTGAATAACACTGAATGAGTAAGAATTCTAAAAGCCATATCTAACAGCTTTTCTTGAACTACTAGTGAAATTTACAGCCTCAGCATCACTATCACTAAAATGTGCTACTGAGCCAAATGCACACCGAAATAAAGCATGCCAGCATGAATTATTCATAGTCTGATGTCCTAATAGAGACTACAACTTTTATACTTCCTAAAAAATTGACATAATGTAAGAACACAAAGAACAAACGTTTCTCCTGTGAACAGAAGGTAGATTCAGTTCAGAACAAAATACCACCTAATCAGGTATTAAAGAGAAAGACGTTATTGCAAAAAAAAAATTAAAAGCAGTAACTAGTGCAGGGAATGGAAGAGAATGTCTATGATGCAAAGTTGCAGAAGGCTTAGTTTGGGTAGGAAAGTAATGACGTAAATTCGCATACATTCAACTTAGATTCTTCCCAAGATGTCAAAAAAGAGACTACGATAAAAAAAATTCAAGTCAATGAATCATTCCAAAATGTTTTCAGCAAAAAAATATTATTCCCATAATCACCTCTGTTCTAGTAGAAACAATCAACAGGATACGCGGTTATTGATCCTACTCAGATCAGAGTTCAGGACTGGACACACTACTGTATCATAAACATGAGCTTTTTGATTACACAAGATTGAATTTGTGAAAGATTAATGCTCTGATTTGAACAAAAGATAAGTGTGAATAACCATCTACATCTTCTGCAAGTCACTTCCAATTCCAGACAATTAACCAGATGTATGCTCAGCCATGCTCAGCTTTAGGATCTAAACTAGCTTTAGAAGAATTCAAAAGTTTTAGTCCTTATCCCTTCCAAATAATTTTCAAATCTTTAAAGTTGCATGACCTCGTTATCTCATGGTGCAAAAGCACTTACTATTACTGAATAACTTTTCTCAAAATACCATGAAAGAATAATTGAAAGTATTTAGAAAGTATACAAGCCTAGATGCAATTTTTATTCTTATATGCCTTTTTTTTTTTGTTACCAGGTAGAATTTTTCAGGGTTCCAATACGCTAACATAAAACCTAGAGTGAAAGCATCAAACAAGACACATAAATTTGACTGATTATTGACAACTGAGTAATAATTTTCTGAAGACAATTTTAAAAGATTGTGCTTGTTCTTCCTTGGAGAGAAAATACTACAATGTAAACGCAGAACTAAGAACAGAAATGTTACTTCATAAGATCCCAAATTAGCTTATATTGTATATGGTTAAATCCATAAACAGGACTTAGTGAAGAAGAGCTGGATCTGCACAAGAACAGGTAGTTTGAGGCAGTCTTCATCATTCAAAATGTTAATGTGCTCCTGATGCCACCTGAAAGCTTGTGATTACTGCAGCCCAACAGCTCTGATTTAATCTTGAACATGAATGAGGAAGTCTTTGCCTATATAATGATCACACAGCAAAGACAGATTGTATTCTTTTTTTTTCCTGTCAGCTCTGAACTGTAACAACACAGATATCCAAATATTTTGTACGTTTACAGAGAACTAAAGCACCATCTCACAAGTAGAAAGATTTCAGAAACTTTCTAGGGGAACCAGAGATGACGACTGCAAAGAGATCACATCTTGCAATCTGTATACATAAGGATGGAGAACGTATGAGCCACCTGAAGTTAGGCTTTATTTCTCTTTTTGGTCCATCATTACATACTGATATTTGACAAGAGGTCTCTAAGAACTAAGGGAAAGTGGCCAAGAACAGCCCTTTGATTTAATAGCTTACAGAAATAGTTTCCACAAAAATCCAATGGGTTGCTAACACTCTACTCTTGTGGGAAGGATCATCTCCCAGTGGTTTTCCTACATCTGTTTTTGCAAAACTGATCTATAGAGTACATCTTCAGAACAGGTGAGACTCCAGTCCTGACCCATGCTTTTGTGCCCGGCTTTACGTAAAAACTCACCAATGATCCTTATCTTAGCCCATGATGCATGAGGGTATATTTTAACTCTTGAGCTCCTTTGAATAAGCAATCATACATATCGAAACTCCGCAACTTGAACACAAGTACAAGTCATCTGTTAACAGCCTGCTCAAAATTCAAGCCTACTAACTACTTGTGTGGCAAAAGGAAAGGAGGAGAAAAAGTCACTGCCGGAATGACAGATGACTCTAGCACTGCCTATTTTAAGAAAATTCCATGCTTTCGCATCATCCTCCTCACCTACATTTAGTCACGTTGCTCACACATACTGCAGTTTTACATCCAGAAGTGATTTCATTGAGGCAGTCAGAGTAGCTGATCAACATTTAAAGGAAGAGATGAACAACTTGAGGAGGAGCCATTCCAAACAATGAGTCTGATCTTCCTCTGGATGCTTTTGCTCACACAATGAATAAGGTTTTAGGAAAAAAAAAAAGGACCACTACTCCTTGGTATCTGGTTATTATCACATTACCATACCCCCCAGAATATTCCATAGCCAAGACTATCTGGTCTTTTTCCATAACTCAAACAGCATACCCACATGCTAGTAATCAAGGTATCAATTTGAAGGCCTCCATTTATTTCTGTGCGGCTAAACAGTTCCTAACAAAGTGTATTCTAAGTATCATTCAGTCCAAAATATTCAACTTTTCCCATTTCCCAGTTATGATCCAACTGACCTCTTAAGAAAGCTGTTCATCTCATGTTCCTGACTGAAAAAAAGATTTTCACATCTACTGCTTGCTGTCCACAAACTCCAGGCATGCAGGGGCTGGGCACGTGGGCCTATTAAAACAATATACAGCCTGAACTTACCACACAGACCATTAGGCCTTGTTCATTTGTGTGTACATGAAAGCTAAGCAGCTGAAAATTGATTGTTCTAACACTCGTTTTTGAGTAAAATCAGCTGTATTTCTGTTGTGTTTTATTTGTAGATCTATCTGTACTTCTACCACAAAGCTTAAAAACCAAAGTGCTGCATAAGCGCAATTTTCACTTCAGGTTAAACTAAACGTTGGGGGTCAGCGTTTTATTTTCTGAGTATGTTTCCAATTTCTGAACAAACCCCTTTTGTGTGAAACTGAAAACTTCTCTTCTGATTCACACAGCCAACCAAAAAAAAATTAATTGCATCACTCTTGCATCAAAAACATTGCTTGCATTGCTACACAGTTTTTTATATATAAAAGTTTCTACTGTAAATTGCCCTTCTCAGCTCTCCCTCTAGTTATAAGAACCTCAGGCAGAGTAATTATCCAAGTAGGAAAAAGGGAAAAACTTTCAGGCTGCTGCTGGGCAGTAAATCTAAGTAAATCAATGATCCCCTCTCTGACAGTATGCCCTCAGAACAAATCCTCTTGAAACATCTGTTTGAATGTGCCCGTTGCTTTTACAAGCTACAGTCTTCTGTTTCTGTCTCTTTACGTGGCTTGCTGCTAAGTCTGTATTAATCCATGACAATGTATTCATTGCCACCAGTATGAACAGAAAGAACCCGAAGAATGAACTACTTCAAAGATTTCACTCTACCTGAGGGATGATCAGATGCTAAAGACAGTCATATAGTGACATCTCACTTAAAAAATATCCTATTTCTCTCTCAGAAATATGAGACTGGAAAAATTGATTCAGAAATAGACCTATTTTAGGACAAATGATTTTAAGAGAAACACAGTCCTGTGAAAGTGTAATCAAAAAGGAAATGGAGCTCCCAGGACAAAATGGGTAAAATCATTAGATGTGTCAGCTGAATACCTTCCCATTTTGAGATATTTAAGGAATACCTTTGTGTGCATCACAATTTAGCATGTTTCTTCAACTGCTAACATAATTTGTCCCAGATGCAGCAGCTCCCTGCATTTTTCAGTGCTTTTCCATATATATTGCCCAATAATTTTCTGCTGAATGCATGGATCCCTAGATAACAAACTTCTACCAGTGGTTTGCTATAATTAATTATCTTTCACTGATCCCTTAGGAGTAGTCTACAGATGCCCGGAGGTCTGTAAGATCACAGATGAAAACCATTGCTAAACACATAGCAATTATTATTTATGTTCCCACAGAAATGTTACTTGAGTCTTTACAGTACAATGTAAAATGGTTTATTTACCTGGAGGCTACTGTCCTCTTAAAACAGGGAAACTCAATCCATTTAATAAATGAGGGGCCCCCTGGAATCTCCTATCTCTCTAAACTGACTAACAGATGTTCTTAAGCTGTTCAAGACAGGCGTAAGGGAAACGAACAGTGAATATAATATATAATATATAATATATAATATATAATGTTTGGCTGAAGATGTTTCCCATCCTAAGTTGGGTATCTCACTGATGCTAGAACAAGCCTTACTGTAATATATATTGGGTCACAACAGAATATTTCAATGCAGTGGTTACTTCAGAGCTTAGGTGCATCAGTTCGGGTAGGTTTATCAATATGGCAAGACTGAAAATCTCAAATGTATTTATGTGAAGGCTCAGTTTGTAGTAATTTAGTGCCTTTAAAAGCCCACGTCTTTTATGCATCTCTTTTGGTCACTTTCAGCAAGCATTCAAAGATCTACATTTCTCACTTGGGTGACATTCAGCACAGATTCCTACAAGTATTTCTGCAGAATCATCTCAATGAATGTAAACAACTTACTTTGTGTTTCAAGATTCAAAATTAAACAATATTAACAATCTTACAGAACTGCCTGCTTGACAGGTCATGGCACATGTTTTGTGTAAATAGCTCTAGGAACTCTGTTTTTACCTGTCAGAAGCAAAAAAGTTAGGGTAGGAAAGGCTATAGCCCCATGTCCTAAACTATCTAAAAAGGGAGTAAAGCACCATTTTACATTTTATCTCTACTAATTCCCTCAGATGCTGAGTACCGATACATTATAGGAAATGGATGCTGACTAGTACAAAGACTGGAAAGACAGCAGGGGTGCACACATGCTGAGAATGCTTGAACCAACATCTACCACTAAGTCTACTTTATTATATGGATTTGGGTTAGACATTTAATTGTAAATATTGTTTTTAAAATGAGAACAAGAAGCTGCAGTCATTTCTACTGCAGCAAGGCAAACCTTGTCTGGTGTTTGTCAGCTCAGTAACTATTCTGTTGTGAAACAGAGCTTTGGAGTGCTAATGTGTTCCCTCAATTGTTTTTCTTGCCACTAGCTCTATTGACAGTAAGATTTGTGTAGTACTGCTATGCCCCAAAGGTCATTATTCAAAACATTTTTATACAGCTCCTACTTTCAAGAATAAAAAGTTAGCTCAAATGATACATGCAGAGGCTATTTTCTCCCTAACTGTTTTTGCCATAAAAGACAACTGAAAAGCTGAAAAATGAATAAATAGTGGCTAGAATCTCCAGCTGCAATTATTTCTGTTTATATCTACACAAGTTGTGCAATTAAAAAGAAAGCATTACAATGAAGTCATGTAAGCCATCAGCGCTTCTCACATATGAATCTCTTGGCTTCTTGGAAGATTAATTGCCAGAAATAATGCAAACAAACGTAGACTCCTAACTTCAGTATTTATACAACTGTAATATTATTCAAAAAGAGATTGGAATGACAATTAGTGCAACTTCTGATTACTAGATGTCTTGTATTCCTACAAATTTGGTAGGAATCTGGGCTGGGAAATGTTTAAAGGATTACTAAGCTGGTTATGGAGAGACAATATCTTTGTCTTCATTGAGATGGCTAGAAAAGCATTGTTCCCCACAGTAAAGTTGACACTTTCAGTGACCAAAGAAACCGCAGTACATTAGGTCATAAAAGAGCTGTGAAAATCCAATGCTATTTATGTCCAAACACAATCCAAGAGGAAGATGTAAGACTGAAATTCTGACTAATAGGACATTTACTCCTAAACTAAAAAACTACCGCCACTGTATGTGTGAAAACACACCTGGACAAACAGTGTCAAATTGCTGCCCCAAATTAAGCCTGTAGATCAGCCATGCAGGCACTGCAGGTGATCATGAAATACCTTCTTCACAACAAGGATGAAACAGGAAGGCATAAGGCATGAAAGCCTGGTAGAGGAAGGAAAGAAAGAGAAGCAGTGGATGCTCTGATGCATAGCTTCAAACAGAAGCATGAAAGGAACAAATTAAAGAAAGCAGTGACTCAGAGTTGTCTCTAAGTCTTCCAAATCTGAAATTCATTAATGCATGAAAAACTTTCTCACATTAAGATTTGAGCCTTCATTCTACATACAGGCAAGGTAGTGGTAGTTAATGGAGTTCCCTTAGGATGAGCTTCTAGGATTCACAGGGCGAAAAAATTACTTGGCCTGGAGCCTTTTGCAAAACTCTTAAAGGCTGTAAGAGGAAGACTAGTGCAGACACAAGAATATTTGTTTGTCCTTCCATTTCCCCTTTCTTTCTCTCTTCTCTGTTTTGGTCCAAATTGTCATGTTTGTGAAAAAGAAAATACTATCGAGTTATGTAAATTTCTGTCGTCACTGTCCCTCACTTTCTTTCCACAGTTTCTTAGGAAAACTCAATGTAATGAAGACCATCTGTTTCTGGATTTGCTATGGAACATTTCCAAGACTGCAATTCCTGACATAAAGAATACCTACTCAGGCACTGAAGCATTGCTACCCGGCTACACTGCAGGACCTGCAGTCAACTGTCATATGTGAAAAAAGAACTGCTGTGTCAGAGAAGGTTTTCAACATCTTCCCAACAACTGTTGGGCTAAGGATTAAGATACAATGCTTAAAAGAGAAAAAGTATAGGAAAAATAAGGAAAAGTAAGTTTTTTTTTCAAGTTTCTTTTTCTTTTCAAAAGAAAAAAACAAAAACAAACTTACTTTTCCTTATTACTAGCCAAAAAAATCCCATCTGATCAGAAACTGTCCCTGGTACCAACAACACTGGGTAGAACTGTGTACTTAAAACACACAGACCTGTGAATTCAGGCCATTTCCAGATCTGATTTTTTTTTCCAGTAGTAATCAAGCATGTATTCATGGCAGTACAGTTTCCCTGATTCATGGAGCTGAAGGTTTGGTTCACTGGTTTCAGGTGGAATTGATGACAGCAGAGCAGTGCTCAGCAACCTGCAAAACTGAGCTTTTGGAGAAGTGCTGAAATATATACCAGTACAGCTGATTTTTCACACAGCTAAATATCCTCATCTGTAATCTTTTCAAGCCTCAGGCTGTTCTTATTCTGGTTACAGAAGTGTTTTCCAACTGGCTTAAGTGCTGAAGTCAGGTTCACAAGAACAGGAATAACGGTTGGTCACTGAGCCACAAATGTGGATTCTGGGAATCAAATCCCACACTTGAAGACTAAGGTTCAAAGTACAGATTTTCCATGAATTTCAGCTTTGAGGCCTTGTTCTGAAAAAAACACTTCAGTGGATCAAAGCGTGGGCCTTCTACCGCTTTTAATTCATTCTCTGTTCCTAATTTCTTTATCTGCTGAAGATAGAAATTTGAACCTGAGAGGCTCCTGCAAAACTCATGCTTTCTCATGAACAGTAATACTTACATTTAATCTACAGTGATATCAGAAGAGTAAACTGCTGCTGGAGACACATCAAGAGTAGATATATGTATCTAAGAACAGCATCAAGTTTTGATGACTCTAGATTAAATCTGTGTTTACATTTTGCTTAGTCATAAACAGCCATCTGTGGTCATTTTTAAGGCTGGCATTCTCAAGAAACAAAGCATGTCACATCTAATGCCAGAATACCCCAAACAGACTGCAGTTAGCAGCTGGCATGAAATGGTCACCTTATGAAAAAAAGCATATAGCATTTAGCAAGGTACAGTATTTCATTTCCTTAAAAACATTTATTTAACAAAACTGTTATCACCTCTGAGTTAATGAGTAAAGCAGCGAGATACAAAATCAATATTTACACACTGTCCAGGAAGTTAAAGATCTGCAGCAGAACATAAGTCCATATTTAAAAAAAAAAAATGATGGCTCTGGCACAACTCAGAGTAGTAAGGGGGAAAGGTAAGACATGGTTGTTTTTTGTGATATTTTCTTTTTCAGCAGAGAATTGTACTCCTGCTTTGAAGAGTGCATGTCAGAGACAGCATCTTTTGAACTCGCTTTGAGCCATTTAAAATATATCCATTCACCAAGAGTCCTGTGGTGACACATTATAGCCCTCACAATGGTGAAACAAATAAGAATTTCAACACTGAACTTACCTACACAGTCAGAAATCTCAGTGCTTATGCATGTTAGCTAGTAGGATAGACTCTGAAGTACGTATATCAGCTAAGCCAAATTATGGTGAATGATGGTATCTTAGTAATATTACATGCCTTGCCCCACTGGTGGACATTTCAGTAAAAACAAAAACCAGTATTACAAGTTCACAGATGAGACTAGGCAGAAATTGACAAGGCAGAATATCACAAATCATAATCAAACTCCAATAAAGCTGTGAAAAGTACTGCATTGAAAATCAAAGCCACAAAAGACTTTAAAAACAATGGGGTTTGAACAAGGAAACTGAAACCTCAATCCCTACATAAAATACACTATTTCCATGTCATATCACATCAGAGAAATAAATAAAACACACTGCCTATACGCATATGTGCATTTCTCAAGCTTGAATTTTGTGAAAACTGTGAATATCTAGGCAGATAGCAGATTGAATAAATTTCAGTGGCAGCTGAGCTGTTACCAAATACTGGCCTGGATTATTCTTTGTCATAATAAATTTTTAAAAAAAAGAGCTTAGAAGAAGGAACTTTCTTAAAGCATCTGTACGAGGTGCTCTTAGTCCCCAATTCATGTACCAAGTTGAAAACTCAGACTACCCCTGACCAGCAGAAGATATTCTTCAGGTATGCCCAGGTAGGCCCTCCTTGAGAGAAATCCCAATGAAATTATATTAAGGCAATTCCTAAACTCAAGAAAGGAAAGACACTATAGATAACACTGCTTATTACAGAACAAGTACTTGAAATCAGGATGCACTGCTCTGCAGCACAGTTGCAGTTTGCATCTGCAGGTATAAAACATCACAGGCAGTAGATTTTTTTGAGTGATCCTTTGTTTCCTGCATTTCTTTCTATTTCTGTGCAGCCACTAATCTATTAAAAATGAGATTTTTACTATTTTCTTAGTGCTCACTGCAGTTAGTAGCCCAGCTCTTTACCCTGCAATGAATTGCTCTGCAACTAAATGAGGGAGTTTTAATAGGGGACTATATATCTCAAACCTTCCGACTCCTATCAAAAATCAGTACCTTCAAAACTGGTACTGGATGAGAAAGGGTGTTTACAAACTAGTGGCTGCAGGATCGATCTAGAGTCACCTGCCAGCCAACACTTCATTTTCCTTCAGCCAACCTTTACTGCATATGGCATAAAAAAAAAAATTAACTGGTTTAACAAGCAGTGTGTTCTTTCCCTGTAAGAACACCACATCAATTCCAACCTCCTGTATCCTAGTTTTTCTATATCCATCTTTACAAATACCATCTATAATAGCTTAATGAAGAATATGCATCCTAAGAACTACTGCTACGTGTGGACATGTGGTTCTACTACACTCAGAACATTTATTGTTGTTTTTTCCTTATTGTCCTGAAGTATGGTACTTCATTTAGCCCTTTGTTGAAACTACAGAAAAAAAAAAAAGTAATCTCCAATCTCTAAGTGGCCAAAAGGACATACAGGTGGGGTTTTGGCTCCTAATTTTTCTGCATTGCAATGCTACAACACAAGGGCTAAATTTAAAGTTTCATATCAGAAATTCATTTTGACAGAAAAATAATTTGGTGACAATTCTCTCTGCCCATCTCCACTTGCATTATTACTTCATTCCCCCAGAACATTCTCTCCCCCAAAAAAGTTTGCCAGAAAAGCCTTTTAAACATCAATCAGAGATCAAACGTTCACACTTGGAAGTAACAGTGTCTCTTGGATGTAGTTTGAAATGTATGTATTCCCATTCCCAGAATCACGGGGGCTGGAAGGGCCTACAGAGAACATCTAATCCAAGCCCTCTGCTACAGCTGATTACCTATAGTAGGTTGCACAGGAAAGCATCCAGAGAGGTTTAGATTATCTCCTAAGAGAGAAAACCTACCACCTCTCTGGGCAGCCTGTTTCAGGGATCTATCATCCTCCACGTACATAATATCTTCCCATGCTTATATGGAACTTCTGTGTGCCAGTTTGTACATGTAGCCCCCCATCCTGTCATTGGACACCACCAAAGAGACCTTGGCCCCATGCTCCTGACACTTTTCTGTCCTTTAGATAAGTGTTCATGTTGAATCTATTTCTCTAACTGTCACCTATTTCTTTCCTCTAGGCTGAGCAGTCTCAGGTCCCTCAACCTTTTTTCATACAGGAAAGATGCCCCAGGCCCCCAGTCATCCTTGCAGGCCTCCACTGACTCTCTCCAGGAGTTCCCCGTCTGCCTTGAATTAGGGAGCCCAGAACTGCACAGTGTTCCAGATGTGGCCTCACCAGGGCAGAGTAGAGGGGAAGGATCACCTCTTTCAACCTGCTGGCCATGCTCTTTTTAATACACCCCAGGATACCACTGGCCCTCTTGGCCACGAGGGCACACTGCTAGCTCAAAGCCAACCTGCTGCCCACCAGGACACCCTTCTCCACACAGCTTCACTCCGGCAGCTCAACCCCAGGTCTGTACAGGTGCATCCCCAGATGTAGGACATTACACTTACCCTTGCTGAATTTCATCAGGCTCCTCCCCACTCAACTCTCCAGTCCACACATTTCCTTCTCCAGCTCCCTAATACCCATCAGCCTGCCCACCTCCTCCTGATGCTGATGCAAGCTGAGCCGTGGTATGTCACAGTGGGCACTGGAGGCTGTGCCACAGTGACGTCATTGTGACACAATCACCCTGGAGAGAACAAAGAGGGCTGCACCCTGGGCAGGAAAAGCAGATGAGGAAGTTACAGAGCTCAGGAGAGGAAAGTGAGGGCACCAGGCCCTTTCAGCCAACAGCAAGGTCAGGAGGTGGTTGGAATCAGAAGTGAGGGTTAGGCAGAAGTCCTGTGGCTTTCCTGATGCCAGGCCCAGACTGGCCTCCTCTCATAGCTGTGCCTGTGCAAGGCTGCGTCCTGTGTCTGAGAGCACAGCTGTACCTGTGAGATTGAAGGATGAGGCTGGGTATGCCTGTCCATGGGCATGCAGCTGTACCTGTGCCAACACCCATGGCAGCGGCCATTGCTGCAAGTGGGAAGCATGGCATGCCTAAACACAGCCATGAAGGACTGGCTTGACTACATCTTCACAACAGCACTGACTATCAGATCCCCATGATGCACTAACAAAGGGATGAGACTGGTTAAAAAGTCAAGTTCATAGAAAATATGCCACCAAAATTTCAGGTACCACTGGAACATCTCCAGGCTGCCACATTTCTGGCTTTAGACACATTTGCACTTTTTGACAGTTGCTTCTGATTTGCAGGTTTTTGTTTGTTTGTTTGGTTGGTTTTTTTAAGAGCAATCATTTCTGAGATGGGTGAAAGAAACAAACAGCTCTGCTGACACACTCCCTGTGAGTGTAAGAACCAGCTCCTGACATCCTTTTGGTCTTGTACCATTGGCTGAGGAATTGAGAACTGCAGAAAAGAATTTGCCTATATATATATATGGTCTTTTCTGCTGATGAGGCAGGCAGGGAAAAAAAAAAAATAATCAGAATTGCAGATTATAATGAGTACATATTTGCTGAAGATGGAATATCATTCTGTAATTAATTCAATTTTGCTTATGTACCAAGAGGGATTTAGAAAGGACATGCAAGAGATCTTGGTGTATGTCCAACGTGAATAAGCATGTAGAGTACCAGTACATTCAAAGGAATATTATTAACTCTTCCTAAGGTTTTTATGGACAGTGAAATCATTGAAGAAACTTGAACACCAGTTACAGCGTGAATAATATCCCTGTCAAAAGCACAAAAATGAACATAGCATACTGCATAAAAGCTAATGACCCACAGAAATTCCTGAAAAGCAGAATCATTTAGAACGATAGGAATGAAATTTTATAAAGTACTCCCTTGTGAGATCCTCCCTAGAATCATAAATTCCAGTTTAGTGGAAATTATACTCCAAAAAAAAAAAAAAAAAACCAACCTGTAATACCCATAATTAGAACACTTCAAGCATGCCCTACAAGGAAAATAAACTTAACTACAACACCAGGTCACCTAAAGTCTCTCATCATTTTAATCAGATTTCTTTGATTTTCTGTTTGTTGCTGAGGGAACAAATGAGTGACAAAGGAATGATTCCTCTTTTCCACTCCTTTCTCAATCCCCTCAACATCCTGGCACTAAAACACAGCCTGTTCATTATTTAGAACATTTCTGACCTTTCATTAAAATAAAGAGTATATGACTTATGCATAAGACTATGCTATTTATCCACAGATCTATTAATGTATGCACATTCTAGACACCATTCTTGCATTCTCACTTGTGGCCTTCAAGAAGACTACTTCAGTATCCACACTTGAAAACAGCCTACTTTAATAGCCAGACTGACCATGGAGTTAATGACATACTTAAGTACTTGGAACAGCTAAGACCTGAAACTGTGAAAGTAAGAAGTTCAAGTCCAAATGTACATCAGGCAGGATGCTCTGAAAGAGATGATATCCCTTTGCATCATAGTGCTTCATTTTTTCTGACTGTAAAGATATCAGTACAAAAAATTCAAATACAACATATATTAGGAAGTTATCCACATTAGGGTGCTGCATCTCCAATTTCTACATCAGATTTTGCTTTTATAAACAATTACTGTATGTGAAAAGTTGCTGTACCTCTTCACTGTTCTGCAGTACCATAGTATGAACAGATAATTTGACATGCAAAATAGAGTTGCATCTCCTCTAACATCTGTACTTACCTTTAGGACATTTAACTACTCAAACATTTGGAATGGTTGATAAAAGAAAATTTCAAGTGATTGATTATATTTCACTTTTTCTGAAGCACAAACATCTTAGGAAATAATTCCTTTGCTTTAAATAAAACTTTACTTTGCTTTCTTTTCAGGGTCTTAAAATTGCTCTGTATTGAAATTACTTATTAACACAAATGAGGTTTATGGAGAAACAGGCCTAGCCCTCTATTCTTACCACCAAGCCCACCAGGTTTCTTCAGAAATCTATAATGAATTTGAGTTCTATAACAAACTCTTGCTGTGCATATAAAAGCAAGTATTTGTTGAAACTGGTCCTTTTCCAGGAAATATTCAGTGAATTGCCAATTTAAAGTCAGCAAGCAAGTGAAAGCCAATCTTACTGTACAATTCTGATTAATTCTTCTCATAACCACAGCTATTTATTTTGACTGCAGCCTGCATGCTGTTAAAGTAGATGAGATACAATACAGCCCAACTAGTAAAAAGGCCTGCTCTTGATCATCATTGCACTGCAACTGATTTTGGCCCCAACTCCACAGGTTTCCCCCAAAAATGAGCGACTATCCTTGGACTACCAAAACAATTTTTATGCTATTACTCCTGACGCATACTGCCTCTGCAAAAGAACATAAACTGAAGACTTAGCAGAAATCAGTAAAGGGATCAGCACAGAGAACCACAATTGCTAGTGTATTCTCAGTTGCTGGAGAGGTGCAAGGCCCAGTCTTTTCTGTTGTACAAAGCAGCAATAGTCTTTGCACCACAGAGCAAAGCACTTAAGAACACTAGATTTAGTATATAAAGACAGCATTTAAACGTAGCAACCCAGCCAGATAAGGCTGACACAGTACTGCCTGTACAGAACTTACTGAAATGGCAGCTGAGTATTCCAGCAGAAGTAGAAGGGTTAATCAGAAATTTGTATAAATCACATTTTGCAGGAATTGCTCTGTTACAACAGATTGTGCAGCACTATTTTTCCCCATTCTTTCTGATACCAGCACCCTAGGCAAACTTTCTAATTAGAGCAGCAGATGTATGCAGTGCCATGTCTCTGTGAAGTTATTATACCCAAACCAAATTTTGTCACTAGCAGCCAATAATTCATTTGTCTACTAAGGGCTTGAAGTGGCCATATCAATTATTTAGAAACATACCAAGAAGAGGAATCCATTTGATATCTTCTGGGAAGCACAGTTATAAAACAGTGTATGCTCAAATTTCATCCACAATATCATCTTTTAAAAAATACAATATTACTAATTAAGGCTTAGTGCATTAGGCCATTAGAATTTGAGTGATTCACGACAGCATAACTATCTTGCTTATCATTTGTGCTTTAATTTATGGAGCACTAAGAAAAAACAAAGCAATTTGCAAGACTGAAACTCATCCAAAAAATGCTTGTAGTAATTTCTCCTGAAAAGTGATTTCACTGTGTGTAAGTGCTATGCTGGTAAGAAAATGCTTCCTATCAATAATTAAAGTATGATGAAAGTTTAATGTGTCAGAAGACATCCTCAAAAAAGGGCTACAGAGAAGAAAGTAGTTTTTCATTCAGACTTTCCACATTTTAAAACTAACAATAACATCCTCCTTTAAGAAGCATTTTAAATAAACTAATGAAATATATGGCAATTCAAAACACACCAGAAACCATAACAACAGAGAAAATTAACACCATTCTGACAGAAACTCCAGCTCCAGAGGTCTGCACACTGCCAAGAATCCTTAAATGCCAGGAATAGCCATGAAAGATATGGATTGCTACCACACAGAAAGATTGCATGCAAAAAGTGGTAGTGAGAGAGCATTAAAGAAGGCTACTTCTCTACAAATTTGCGTGGATTTCAAGAGCCTTAATTCTCTAAGACATCCACCCATTGACTCATATGAATGCTACACGTCAAAGGTTTTGCCTGGTGCACATCATGGGCAAATCTACAGACTCTCCTTTGGTGTCAACATCTTCCGCATCCATCCAGGCACACATGCAAAAAAAACTTTTAGAAGCTACAAGGGCTGCTCCAAAAGCAGCTCCTCCTATTTTGTCACGTTAGCTGATGACATTAGGCATAGATGTTGGTGGTACAGCAGTAGAGGAAAAAGCGACACCCATTGGCATTCATTGGCACTTGTGAACACTTAGACAGAACAAACTGTGGATGTGAGCATAGTGAGGCAGTGGGTAGTGTGAGGCAGTGGGTAGTGCATTTCAGCAATGGCAACAGTGATGTGGAAGCCAAGTCACATTCTTGACAGCTATGTAAACTGTTTAAAAGTGCAACATGCAGGTTCTTGTTCATTACTGGCAAAAAAAGCATAGCTAAAATGGTGTGCAATGTGATGGAAAGTGAAGCAACGACAGCAGAACAGCAAGATCCCAGGCTGCAGCAAGTTAGAATTTCCTCAAACGCAACACCCATAAGCACAGAAATAAAGAATCTGCTTACCTTTGGAAGGCCTCAGGTATGCATGGACCCTCAACAACAAAAAAGCAAAACAAAACAAAAACAACCTTTGCATCCACTGCCAACCCTTAAATGAGGTCTGTGAAGGGGTGGATCCTGGCTCCACCCCTTGCAGTCACTCAGGTACATTGCATACACCTGAGCTCCCCTAGGTTGGCCACACCTTCCTACCAGGTGCTCGTCACTGTTTCAAGCTGTGACTTACACTTCTGCTACATAGTGACTACGTTGAAAAAGAGTGTTTTGTAACTAAGAATTTGCTCAATCAAATAGTGTTATTGTGTTCTTTGTATCTGTTGTAGTTTATGTGGAAATAAATAGAAGACACTACTTTTGGAGCAACTACGCAGATTGTGTTTTGAACTCTTCAGCTCTATTGCAAATTTTGGTTCATACTGGTGTATATGGATACAAAAGTTAATCTAGACAAGAAGAAGGAAGCACAAAACAGGCTGTCATATGCCTTCTAGCAAAAGTCTGAAAATAAGTTATTCTGTGTACTGATGTAAAATATCCACATCTAATACTCACAAAGACAGAAGGCATGCAGGACTTTCAGAGAAGTCCTGAGAATAAAATCATTGTTAGTATCAACAGAAGTTAGGGACAGAAGGGTATTAGAAAGAGATTTTCCAAGAGGCCTGCATTTTCAGCCAGATGATCCCATTGCTTCCTCACTCTCGTTATTATTGATCTCCACTGTCTTCACACAATGTGAAAGCACTTATGCTAGCAGGCAGGAGGATCATCCAAGCTCAGGATTGCCAAGGCGGCCTTTGGCAGCATCCCTCAGGAGAAAAACGTCAGGAGAAATCCCTCTGCTACTAAGGAAGCACCTCCACCATTGCTCTGCTGCTCTGGAAGCACACAAACTAGCATGTAAGTGAGATTTCACACAGTGGTTCAAAATAATAAGCAGGCCCAAGAATAGAAAGCTAGCCCCAAAAGCACTCACGTTGGTCTAAACAAGGTTACTGAGAGAAAGCTGAGGCCAGGACATCTGAAGGTCAGCCTGTCACCCTGCTTCCTAAAACACTTGTTATAAACGCAATCACAAAGCAAACTCTGTACGGTTTGGAAAGGATGTTGGTTTCAGCATGAGGTCACCAACTTTGCAATGGAGATATCTGTTTTAAAAATAACTGAAGTTACTGTAACCTGATGAATGAAATAAACCTCTGAATAAACATTTTTTATAGTTTCCATCTACTCTTCTGCACGTAGCACTGATGTGATAGTTTAGGTAGTTTGGATTGGTGAGACTATTAAAACGTCCTCTCATTCATGATGACAAACACTAAATTTGGAATAAACTCTTGGTCAGTTCTCCTAGCTCTGCTTCTGTAATGGACAGAGGTCAGACTGAAGTCATCCGTATTCACTGTGCACATCAGTTGCCTGTAACTGCTGCTACTATTTTAAACTGCTCAGTAAATTCCATCTCCAACAGGATTTCTGTTTAGCAGGTTCTGGTATACAAGTACAGTTGGTAACAGAGTTGGAGCAATTAAGTCTGGAAGCTTCTGAATAAACAACCTTTACTACATAGGAGTTTGACACACCATCACAGGCCACAGCTGGTATTTCCCAATTCTTGCAGTCATCCAATTTTATCATTATTTAGAATTATAGAATCATTAAGGTTGGGAAAGACCACTGAGATCATCTAGTTTGGGGGTGTCTGACCTTTTGGCTTGCATGGGCCACACTGACTGAAGAGGAATTGTCTAGGGAGGAATCTACAAAGGCTGATCCAAAAGTAATGCCTCCTATTTATTTCCATGGAAACTACCACTGCTACAAAGAACATAATGACATTACTGAAGTGAGTGCATTCTCAGCTACGAAACAATACTCTTCAATACAGTCACCACTATTAGCTATGCATTTTCACAAGCAATGAACAAGAGCCTGCATGACACATTCCCAAATTCATCAGAGATTTTTGATGAAATTTTACTCTTCCTGTGCTTCATCCTTGAAAATAATTGTTCAGAAATGCACATATGACCAAAAAGTGGTGACATAAATAAGGCATGACTGTGAAGTGAGGGATATTTCTCTCTGTTAAGATAGGGCTTATAATGGTAAAGAAATATCAAATTTTGAATTGCAGCCCTATATGTTTTTTTTAAAACTGTCATGTAATGTATTTATGTTGATTGAAAATGGAGTTGCAAATAAAACAAAAAATTTATGATTTTTTTTTTTTGCAATCTTGAAACCTAGTCTAAATTCCTTTATCAAAACGAATAGCAGGACTGCATAATTTTCGCTATTCACAGGACTGTGTTTAGGCAATTTATCAAAATCCATGAACTTATTTACCATAGTATAACATAACAGCACTGCAACATGTCCTCCCCACGCCCTGGTTTCATCCCAGACAGGGTTAGTAGCTCAACAATGTTTAGTTGTGCTGAGTGATGACTGTGCATCTGGGCCAGGCCAGGTGGGTCAGCATGGAAGAACTGCTGAATAGCACACAGAGGTGGCATGCTGCAATGAGAGCTGTCTTGGACTACATACAGCCTGCAAGCCATGGGTTGGATGTGCCTGATCTAGTCCAACCGGCGAACCATCTTCAGCATGCCCACTAAAACACGTCCCTCAATGCCACTTTCACATGTTTCTGGAACACCTCCAGGGTCAGTGATCACCACCTCCCTGGTCAGCCTGTCAACTGAAACCTGATATTCAAACTGAGTAAATCTTGGGCTACATCAGGTCAGTACATTCCCCAAAAGCTGGAAATCTCTAATTTTATTTTCTTAGCTCCATTAACCCAGCACATTTTGCTCTGACTTTTATTCCTTCATATGTTCCATCCTGATTTATGGCACACCTAAAACTTTCTAAAGGAGTTGAGAATTCCTCTGTAGTCATTATAAACTTATTAATAAACAAATTGACTTTCTAGAGTTATTTTGCAAGTCTTGAAAAAGTAATGCATGAACAACCAGAGAGATGCTGACCGTAGTTTTCAAATTCTTCTGACAGGACCTCATTGAAGACTCCAGACAGGCTCTATGCTGTCCTAGAAAACACCAAGATCTTACAGTGTTTTTATCATATTTCCCAAGTGTTGTTTTCCTTTCCTCGTGCTGTTGTTGTGGTTGGTTTTTTTCTGTTGCTGTTCCTATGCGCTGATTCTTACCATAGTAACAGCATGTGGGAAAAATAAAATAAAATAAAATTCAAAAACTATCCAAAGCATCCTAGGAAAACAGGTCACACAGTGTTGTGAAATATCATCCAGATTAACAGTTCATTTTCTAATCCAAATTTTTTTCTTTTTTTTTTTTAAATAACCACCACAGAAACAACAATTCTGAAAACTGCTGCATTCTTTTCAACCAGCAAAAATATTCCTCTTTTCTGAACAGAGGCACTGCAAAGGACACCAGGCTACATCCTTCTGAGCCCAGCTGTTCTGCAGGCACATGCTGACAATTTATTCCCCAACACTGATCTTGAATCCCTTCCATGCCCAGGTCTGCAGGACCGGTATGACTCAGAGCATACTCCTACTCAAATGAGAAACTGCAGCCCCATTAGGTTAAATGGGACAAAT